GATCACGTCAAGAAAAATCATCTCCAAGGGCATGTCACCTGAAGACCTTAAGCACGGACATGTTGCTTCTCCCAGTTAATGCTTTCCCAACTTCTTTACCCTTTATTGGGGCAAAATTTGAAGACTTTGTTGTGCCAACTACAGTCAATCCGGGGCAATCACGTCGAGATTTGATGAATCTCTCTAAGAGTTTGAAGACACCAGAGCATGGTGAATGCCAGGTCTTTTGTAAAATCCTCTTGAGATTATTTCTCCTCATCAGCCATATGGCTTGGGGCATTTTAAGTGAAGTTATTCGCAAGAAATGTCGTGCAACACGCAGCTTATCAGCAGTAAACTTGGGGCATCCAAAATTAATCCCAGGGGCAATCCAGATTTGTCAAGATATGTTTTTCATACATCATCAGAGGGTGGTGTTCCCAATATCTCCAACTAAGCAAGACTTCTTTCCAGCTGAAACTTTGTTTGTGTTGTTATCCTTTCAATGGATTGTTTGCAATAGAAGACTGGACTTTGGATTTTCTACCTGAAAATATCTTCCTCCCCAAAGAGATTTAAGCCTTGTAAAAGGACTTTGCTCCAATGATGGATTTTGTTTTCTATCTCTAGTAATATTACCATCCTGTTGAGATTAGCCGAGTGTCGAGTTGTACTGTGATGTCTTATCATTTTCTGTCCATCTCCCCTGTCTGTTTTGTCCGCACATACATGGCATTCATTTATTCATTCACACTTGCATCATGCACGCACAGTTGTATTTGTTGATATTTTTGAGTTCGTATACCTTGGTTATGTCTATTCAAATAGCGTATTTGATCTTTCCAAATAGAGTGTCAACTTAAGCAGAAAGTGAGCCTCTTTTCTAATTCCCCACTGAGTTAACTCTCGTGGAAGAATCTTGCTTTAGCTTTCCTTTTCCATCTTTGGATAGGATAAATCCCCATTTGAGTTGTTTCCTCATTGGGCGGAGTCTTGTTTTGACTATTTTCTCTCCAGTTTATTCCTGGATTGAGCTTTGTCTCTTGTGAATGATACCCTGTGGATCTCTCTAGGCTGTGAAACCTAGATGGAGAGTGCATTTATTTTGCAATGTAAATACTTGGTCTCCTCAAGAAGGATTTACTCATGGTTCCCCATTGAAGATGAACTTTATTCCCCAGTAGTGTTATCACAACCTTCTTCTGGAATATCGACATGACAACAAGTGACTGACTCTTTATTTAAGCAGTTTGATTATTTCTGATTTCTCTACGACAAATGGCGGTCTCTTCATGAGCAATTTGTCCATCCCCGATGAAATTATTGGTTCTCACCTCCAGCAATATCTTCACGATATTTTATGGGTATCTTTTTGGGAAACAGCAAGCGGCAGTCTCTTCATGAGGCAACTTGTGTGTTATGGATACTCTTGACAAACAGCAAGCGGCAGTCTCTTCATGAGGCAACTTGTGTGTTATGGATACTCTTGACAAACAGCAAGCGGCAGTCTCTTCATGAGGCAACTTGTGTGTTATTGTCACCTTCAAAAACATCAAGCGGCAGTCTCTTCACGAGGCAACTTGTTATGTTATTAACAACTTGAAAAAAAAACAACAAGCGGCGGTCTCTTCATGAGCAACTTATATGTTATTGATACCTTGAAAAAAACCAACAAGCGGCGGTCTCTTCATGAGCAACTTGTGTGTTATTGGTAATTTTGAAAAGAAACAGCAAGCGGCAGTCTCTTCATGAGGCAACTTGTGTGTTATTGTCACCTTCGAAAACATCAAGCGGCAGTCTCTTCACGAGGCAACTTGTTATGTTATTAACAACTTGAAAAAAAAACAACAAGCGGCAGTCTCTTCATGAGCAACTTGTATGTTATTGATACCTTGAAAAAAACCAACAAGCGGCGGTCTCTTCATGAGCAACTTGTGTGTTATTGGTAATTTTGAAAAGAAACAGCAAGCGGCAGTCTCTTCATGAGGCAACTTGTGTGTTATTGTCACCTTCGAAAACATCAAGCGGCAGTCTCTTCACGAGGCAACTTGTTATGTTATTAACAACTTGAAAAAAAACAACAAGCGGCGGTCTCTTCATGAGCAACTTGTATGTTATTGATACCTTGAAAAAACCAACAAGCGGCGGTCTCTTCATGAGCAACTTGTGTGTTATTGGTAATTTTGAAAAGAAACAGCAAGCGACAGTCTCTTCATGGACAACTTGTATGTTATCAACACTTTTAAGAAACAGCAAGCGGCAGTCTCTTCATGAGCAACTTGTTTGTTATTGTCACCTTTGAAAACAACAAGCGGCGGTCTCTTCATGAGCAACTTGTGTGTTATTGGTAATTTTGAAAAGAAAACAACAAGCGACAGTCTCTTCATGGATAACTTGTATGTTATCAACACTTTTAAAAACAGCAAGCGGCAGTCTCTTCATGGACAACTTGTATGTTATCAACACTTTTTGAAAACGGCAAGTGGCGGTCTCTTCATGAGCAGCTTGTACGGAAAATGGCAAGTGGCAGCTTCTTCATGAGCAACTTGTACGTTAGTATTTTTGGAAGACAACAAGTGGCAGCTTATTTATCTGAGCAACTTGTGTTATTGTTCCCTTGAAAACGGCAAGTGACAGCTTCTTTATGAGCAGCTTGTGGGTTATTAGCAACAAGTGGCAGACTCTTCATGAGCAGCTTGTGTTTTGATATTCTTTGAATACAGCAAGTGGCAGCTTCTTTATGAGCAGCTTGTGGGTTTTGGCAACAAGTGGCGGACTCTTCATGAGCAGCTGTGTGCTTTAATATTCTTTGAAGACAGCAAGTGGCGGTCTCTTCATGAGCAGCTTGTGTGCTTTAATATTCTTTGAAGACAGCAAGTGGCGGTCTCTTCATGAGCAGCTTGTATGTTATTAACACCTTTGAAAGGAAGCAAGTGGCGGCCTCTTTATTTGAGCAGCTTGTGTATTCACAACAATAATGTCTACTCAGCAAATGGCATCCCTTCGGAAAAGTCCCGTGGGGAAGTTTGTTATCCTTTTCAAGAGATATCTTGGTTAGAGAAGAAATGTGTTACCGTTCTTGGTAAAATTCAGAAATCACAGATGTTTATCTCTAGCCACAGTGCTGATGTTAATCATTTTCAAGTCTCAGCACTGATGTCCATCATTTCCTTTCCCAGCCACAGTGCTGATGTAAATCATTTCTTTTCCAGTCACAGTGCTGATGTAAATCATTTCTTCTCCAGTCTCCGTACTGATGTAAATCATCTCTTTTCCAGTCTCAACACTGATGTAAATCATCCAAGAGTCTCTCATTTGAAGTCTATGACTCTGTTTCCCCAGTGGAGTTACAACCTCTTCCTCTGTGGGATTACTGTATAATGTGCTTGGTTTCTCCAGCATAGTCTGTCTCATATGACGTCATTCCCCATAAAATTCAAAACATCACATTCATATCATATCGTAAACATAATCGCGGTATCTTAAGGCCAAAAATTGTGTATTCTATATTTAAGTCCCTTCAATCTCGTCGAAATGAAGATCCCAATCTTCATATCTCCAGATAGAAGAAACTTAAATAGGGGCAGCTGTTGTACCCCAATTTTTGACCTAAGATCCCATTTTTATTTTTGCATAAGTCAAGGTCACGAAATACGGTCGATTTTAACGTCTCACCTTCGAGCTTTGACTATGCGAAGATTGTCAAGTGTTTTGAACATTTTTAGCATATGTATCACTAATTTCTAATCGCATACAAAGGTGTATGTTCATGTTTTCTTTTGTGTCATGTGCAGAGACAGGTCTGAATCAAGAGCATCAGGTGTCACGCCTCAATTAAGGTTTTGAGTCTCCCAAGCCAAAAGTACGGTTGATTATGGATTCTCGAAGACTGATTCATCAAGGCACACCGTTGCACCCTTAATTTCGCCCCTAATATGTTTTAGTCGCACTTTCATATCATATTTTGTTATTTAGTCACAATCATTAGTAAATATCTTCATTCATCAGATTTTGCATCGTTAGTCGTATTTAAGTTGACCAGAAAAAGTCAGTTTAAATCAAAGTTTGCATCGTCTTTCAGTTGTAAAATACCCGGCATTTTGCTTCATGCATTTTTATCTATTTACTCATTTGTTGCATTGCTCCAAGTTATTTATATGTCAAGATAAAAATATTTTGGTTTTATAGACCGACTGTTAAAAGCGATTCGACACTATGCGGGAAACTAGCGAGAAAATATTTCAAGTTTTCACCTTTTACCGATCATTTTATGAATCTGCGCTTCGCGTCGATATGACGGTATGCTCGCTTTATTTTTTCGGTACAGTTCAAAGTCTCGTTTTTAACCTTAAACGTCTGTTTAGTCTGATATTTTTATTATTATTTTATTTTTGATTTTTGACTTCTTGAATATATTTTCTTTAATCTTTGTGACATGTAGATTATTTTAATGTGTTCATTTTATTTTTTCGGATAAATTTTCGTCCGTTTTTTATCATTTTCGGTCATTTTGGGTCTTTATTTTTTATTCATAAAATATTCAAAAAAATCATTTTAAATTGAGTTTTTTTATACTTTCAAGTTTTATTTTTATTTTTTTTCATTAAAAGGCTTTTAGTCACAAAAATATTTCCCTCCTATTTTTCAATCCACATAATCTTTCCCCCCACAATAAAAAAACTCCCGCCTACATACACCCATCACCATCCCATTATGCAGTACATAGTCTCTGCACATATTCTAAATATGACACACAACCAACATATCTCATAACAAACACAAAAATAAACTCACTTCCCCTCTCTCCAAAAACAAAACAAAAAGCATAGCAATAAAAACCTTTCGCCTCACTCAACCTTCCTCCCAAACTCCCTTTTATCTCTTCAAAAACAGCAACATTAAACACTGTCTCTCTCAAATTCATAGGTTTTCTTTATACACATTTTTAATAATATCTACTTTTCATTTATTTATCATTCTGCAAAAAAGAAAAAGAAAACTCACAGACAAAAACAACAACAATGAAGTCTCTTGCAACAACCTCTTTCTTATGTGCTCTACCCCTTTCCCCAACTTCTCCTTCAATTCCCCCACCTACTGTACAAACCCATACCATCTCCTCTTCATATTCCCTTCATTTCACCCCAACATCCTCTCACATTCCGCTTCATATTCACACAAAACGTATTCACCAATATTACCTTTCCCTCTCCATGTGAACCGTAACACCATCCTCCTTCCTCTTAACCCATCCCAGTGAGAGCCCCTTCAATCTTCTCAAGCCACAACCACCGTACCACTAGCCACAACCCAGCGCCACACATCACCTCACAAGCTTCTACGACCCATAAATGTCAACCTGCTCCATATTCAGCACCGTTTCACCATCCACCATCGACTTTAACAACACAACATCTCAGCTTCACTTTGCACAATGCAAATGGCGGTTTCAACGGCGGATTATCAAAGATGAACTCCAACAGGAACGATAACAGAGCTGTTTCTGTTAGGGCTGACGGTAAGGGTAAAGGACTTACCTATAAAGACGCTGGTGTTGACATTAATGTCGATTCTGAACTTGTAAGGAGAATAGCTAAGATGGCGCCTCGGATTGGAGGCTTCGGTGGTTTATTCCCCCTCGGTGATTCGTATCTCGTTGCTGGTACTGATGGTGTGGGGACGAAGTTGATGCTTGCTTTTGAAACCGGCATTCATGATACTATTGGGATTGATCTGGTTGCAATGAGAGTCAATGACATTGTTACTTCGGGGGCCAAGCCTTTATTTTTCCTTGACTATTTTGCTACCGGCCCTACCGGCCATCTTGATGTGGATGTTGCTGAACAGGTTATAAAAGGAATTGTCAATGGTTGTAAGCAATCTGATTGTGCTCTTCTAGGTGGAGAGACTGCAGAGATGCCTGGTCCATATAAAGAAGGCGAGTATGATCTCAGCGGCTGTGCTGTTGGCATTGTAAAGAAGGAGAATGTAATCAATGGGAAGAACATTGCCGTTGGTGACATTATTATTGGTTTGCCATCCAGTGGAGTTTATTCTAATGGCTTATCACTTGTAAGAAGAGTGCTTGCTCAAAGTGGGCTTCAATTGAAAGATAAACTTCCTGGCGGTGACATCACAATTGCTGAAGCTTTGATGTCTCCAACTACTATCTATGTCAAACAGGTGCGTGACGTAATCAGCTTGGAAAGGAATTTCTTCTGGAAAGGTTCATCCTTTTTCATAGATGTGTCTTTATGTATCTATATGTGGCAAATATTGCACTCAATCTAATATTTCTCTTTATTTTGTTTAATATATCTATGGATTTGTTTTGTTGAAAAAAAAACAAAAATAACTAACAGTAAACCAATTGCTTAGAATTTTAATCTTTAATTTAGAATTAATTTAGTTTTGATTTAAGTTAGTAATTTTATTATTAATATAGTTTAGATTAAATTAGTAATTTTTTAATGAATTTAGTTTATACTTGAACTAGTTTAGATGTAATTTAGCAACTTTAGAATTAATTTAGTTTAGACCTAATTCAGTAATATTAGAGTGTTAATTTATTTTAGATTTAATTTAATAACTTTCGAATTTCAGTTAGTAACTTTAGAATTTTAATTTAGTTTTAGTTAATAACTTCAAAATTTTATTTAACTTAGTTAGACACTTTAGAATTTAAGTTTAGTTTACTTAGTAACCTTAGAATTTCAAATTAGTCTAGATAATTTTTTAATTACACTTTTCTTTTATTCATGATTCTTCTTTGTCCATTCATTTAGTTTCTTACAATTTATCTTGTTATCTACCTTGTTCGTTTCTCGTGGATTTTAACTATTTATGATTTCTTACTCGAATATTAGATCTACCCACTTATGATTAACTCCAAGGGAAATGTTTCAACTCAGCTGACTTCATGTCATCGAATACGTCTTCTACAATCGTGCGAATAGCCTCATTCATTTTTTGCTTGTTTACTATTTTTCTAAACTTAAGATAAATTTCCCAAAAGACCCCCATTTTCAAACTCACACCTTTTAAGTCAAAACTTCGACACTAGGTCGTCGCATCTTCAAAATCTCTCCAACACCGATTTTTAGCCAAACGAACCATTTTAATCAAACAAACAATTTTAACCAAAAACAGATATTTCAAAAGGTTCCTGCGGAGTACCGCAGATACATTGGGTGCTAATACCTTCCCATTGTATAACCAACCCCCGAACTCTCGATCTTTTTCAAAAACGCATTGTATTTTTATTACTTTTAAGTATTATTTTACATTGCATATTTTAGGGTTTTATTTCGCTCTTTTCCCTTTTCCCTTGGAAATAATAAAGCGCGGTGGCGACTCTTGCTTTTGCGAGTCAAGTTAATTAATAGTTTGATCTCCGATTTTCACCGCTACAATAACATTTTCTTTACAAACCCATTTATCCCCAAACTCATAAACACGATAATTTTTCGAACGATAATTCAATAACCAATCTTTGTGGACACGATAAATTCCCGGATAAATATTTCCAAAACATTTGTTGCTTGCCACTATAACGCTCCAACAAAATGACGCCGTTGTCGGGGATTGGTTCTATTGTTTTGCATTGCGATAATTCTTTTGTTTTGGAGTTTTGTAATTAATGTATATGTTTTATAGAAATCGTACATTAACTTGTATATGATATTTGTGCATATATGTGTTTTCTCGTATTATTGTGAATTATCTCATATTCGTAATGTTTGTTGTGTGATTGTTAGGACACTTTCTTTAAGTTTGCATGGTGTGACAATACCATGGCATGATGAGAGGAGATTACTAGCTCACACAATAAAGGCGTTGAGCTTATGACGTAAAACAAACATGTTTGTTTGTATTTATTTATGTGTATGGTGATTTGTGCTTTAACAAGTTGAAACAAGGAAATATTCTGAATTTCAGATCTTCACTTTTCAACTCGTTAATTCATTTTCATATGGTTTTCATATCGTTATTTGTATTTGTTTTGTTATGTCAATTTATGTTTTCTGAAAGTTTGTCGTGTTTAGCTTGAGGAGTTTTGTTCGTTATATATATTATAAATTTTATACATTGAAATTTTGTAGGAAAATTATTTTTCTAATTCTTTTGTTGTTGTTTGCACTCAAGTTTTAGTACAGTAACTTGTAGAATATTTAGGTGATTTGTCAAGTTTGATCGTTTCGACTTGTGAATGCATGCTAATGATTTTGTTAAAGTTTTGTACAAGTTGGAGGTATGTGTTTATCGCTTTCTGTACTTTAGCATATTCATGATACTTAGACTTTTTACAATTTTATGCCATTCATTATTTTTTATACTTATTTGTTTATGAATCAATTTAGTTCCTACCCTTTTTGTGAGGTAGCTTTCCATTGTTCACATATGTTGGAGACCACAATTCTTGTTTTAACTAGATTTTATTATGCTTAATATTTTATTTGTGTTGATTGTATGAAAGCTTGAACATGATAAAGGCATTTTTTGTTTCATATTGAGCATAACTACCTTGGCCAAATAAGTCAATTCACCTTGTGAGTATGTGATCATTAGTAACCCCTTGGAGCTTTTGGTTGATATCCATGTTGTATTTGCTAAATGCTTATCTATGAGAGTATTTAGTTTCCCTTTTTGCATGGATGTTGATTCGTTGTTTTCTTGAACCCTCAATCATTGTTTTGGTTTGAATTTTTACCTTGCCTTATAAAGTAGGGAGTATTCACTTTAATGTATGGTTGAATTCAAGTTTGGTAGAACAATGATTGTGTATTTATTGGTTGATTGCTATGAGGTTGAAAAGAAAAAGAAAAAAAAAGTGAGAAAAGAAATGAAAAAAAAAGATAGAAAAAGAAAATAACTAAAAAAGTTTGGAAAATGAAAAACAAAAAGAGTTCGAATAATGTTGTGTTAATAAGTGATATGCTTTGGTTTGAAATTTTGGATTCGGTAGAAGTTTAATAAGAATTTTGTGTTTGAATCATTGGTGAATTGATCACTCCCTTAGGTTTAGAAAAGTTTTTTTTTCCATTTAGCTTTAGAAATTATCCCTTGTTTGTTAACCAAGCCACATTACAACGTTGAAAATCCTTTGAGATTCTTGCTTTTATATTTTGAATGTAAATTTTTGGATGAATGCATAATTTAGTTTATTGTTTGCAAAATTATTGGATGAGTGAAAATACCCCATATTTGTGTGTTTTTCATCTACCGATGATTGTATTTGTTAGGTGTGATTCATTTGTGAACAAGTATTTTTTAAGAATGTTTCGCATACTTTTTGTATTTATCATTTGTTTTGTGTTTATGTTATAGTCCTAGTTTAGTGATAAGTGTTTACTTTGTTTGTACTCTTTTTCATTTGAGCCATAACATTTGTTTTCCATTTTTCAAAACCTATTGATTCGTGATTCTTTGATTATCGTCTTTTGCTTCTTTAAGTTTATTTGACTTTGTTTGAGGATAAACAATGTTTTAAGTTGGGAATATTTTGATGAGTGCTAAATTGTTGTAAATTTGAGTGTTAATAATTAGCACTCATTGGCTTAATTCGTTTTTTTTTTGTCAATAAACCTTAACTTTAGTGTATATTCGGTACAATTTATGTTATAATGTATTTACTGCATAATTATGTAAATACCATTGAGTTTAATTAATTTTATCTCATTTTTGTAGGTATTCAAGATTTTATATTTAGGCATCGTTACAAAGAGCATTGAATAAGCTTTTCAACGCTTCGAACCGGGCGTGAATCGAAGTTACAGTTCAAAAGTTATGACCGAAATAGTGCAAAATATTGTGCTGGTTTTTTCAACTTTCTATCATTCGTCGCCGAACTACACTTTTTGGTCGTCGGGCGACGCTAGGCGAGCTGAAGTATGGGAAAAACATTGTTATGGTCGTTGGGCGACACTTTTTGGTCGCGGGGCGAGGCTGGACAGTCAGAAATGCGAATTTAGGTTCAAAACCACATTTTTTTGTATGTGTTGTACCTCAAAATTTGCCCTCTCATATTTCTCAAGACATGGCAAGAAAAATCTCCAAGTGGCTCAAGATTGCTCAAGAGTTGGACAGTCAAGCTATCTCCTAAGGCAGTCAACCCGAAATTAGGGTTTTGTGTTGCATAAAGATCCTAGAATCCAAATTACCTCAAATGCTCCTTAATGTCCTAATATGTTCTCAAGGTCATCCATGTCAAATTTCAAGCCTTGCAAAGGAAGTTTGCTCAGTCAATTGCTCAAAGGGCCCAAAAATCGACTGTGCCAGGACAAAAGTCAACTGTGACCCAAATACAGTCAAACTTTAAGATTTTTTGTCAACATTCTCATTTTGAAGGATGTTTCATCATTTTAACAAGGGTTGATCATGATTCATCAAGGATTGCTCAAAATTCATCAAGACTCAAAAGTTGCTAAATTAGGGTTTTGTAGGAAAAGTCAACTCAACTTTGACCAAGCATAACTTTCTCATACTTTATGAGAAATGACCCATCCAAATATCATTTTGAATATGATGTAATTTCCTACAATCCATCTTCATACCCCAAGATCATAAAATGCACTCACAAGAAGTTATAAATTTGGACATTATAGGTCATTTTTGAAAGTCAACAAAAACACCTTTTTTTCCAAAGCTTATAACTTGTGCATGGAATATCAAAATGCGATGAGACCAAAAGGTTTGGTTATAGGACATCTCAAGCTTTCTAAAAGGTCAAAGAACACCTCCAAAAGTTCAAAATTGAAGAAGTTATGCATTGTTGAAGTTGGGCATTTTTGTAAAATTGCCAAAAGTCAACTATCCCCAAAACTTCAAATTTTGTCAAATGGGCCCATTCTTTTCCAATTGATTTGAGCTTGCATCATTGTCCATGTGTCCTAGCTTCAGCCAGGAGCTCATATCTTATTTTTATTATTTTATTTGATTTTTCATTGGATTATTCCAATTTTAATCAAATTAAATCATAAAAAATCCAAAGCTTTGATTACATGATATCTTTTGATTGTTTCAGGTTTTAATTCTCATCATAACCATCATCAAAATTTGTATCAAGCATATCATGTACAAAAAGATGGAGATTTGATAAATTTGGCAAGCTTTAAAGGATGAATCAAATCAAATCATAAGGAATTGATTTAGAGAGATTTGATTCATGATTCTTGACCTAATACATTCCATGATACATATAGAAGGCAAAGGCACGAAATTGAGGATTAGAGGCTGCAAGAACACTGAAAAGAAAACTTTAAAAAAGTGGTAAAAAGTGCAAAACCAAAATC